GTCGAAATCGAATGTTCCTTTAGTAAACGATTTTCTGTTTTGGTTAAACTCAAACGAATTTAATTACTTTTGAATTTCTTTCCAAAAGACCTCCTATTAATGTAACTTGTGGACACTTATATACAAGAGTTCTTTTTCCTTGTATTCCCGATATGGTACTTTGGATTGCCCATGCAAAAAATCTCCGGGATTTTATGCCTTTGATAACAGAAGTCGGATAATAATGGTCAGAAGTTGTTGCCGGACAAGTCCAACAATGAATTCATCACCATGACATTTCACACACACGTCCATTCGAATAAGAATCGATCAACCAAATTTATTATTTAATAAAATCCAACGAACATTGTGCGGACAATTGCGATGCAAGAACAAACGCTCATGATTATTGTCTTGCACAGCAACATTATCGATATCTTCCTAATGGATCGCTTGATGAATTATTATTTGGGTTTGGGTTATAGAATGCAAATCTGTGTTGTTCTTTTGGCTCCATCCATATCGATGGGCATCTCTCATTTTCCCTCTGCTGCTGCATGTAACGTTTCCATGTGCGCATATAACTTCACATTCATGTCCCTTAACACCACAGTTTTGTTCCCATCAGATCATCTCTGCCTACTGCCCCCATTGCACATTCAATACCAAGAAAACTAAAACAATAATCAACAACAGGAAACGAATTGAAGAGAGCAGAAAAAGATGCCTTTGCTTTTAGTTGGAATATTGATAACAACTTGTCAGAAAGAGAGAGAGAGAGAGTTATTGATCATGTTATATTAAAAACAGGGGACCTGAAATCTAGAAAATGGGGCAATTGTTACCTGCCATGTCTAGCTGATTTTGTTGTTGACAAGGATAGCTTAGGTTCAACATCTCTCACTCGGATCCCATCACTACTCCAACTCCGTAAATTTAACAATTGAGTCCATCTACCAACATCTACAACATCGGCACAAGTTGATCGAAGATGATTTAAAATATTGGGTACCAAAAGGAAAATGATAGGTGGTTTAACTATCTGAAACAGTGGAACTACAGCTAAATCACGATTTTAGTACAAAATATCCTACCACTCGATATAACCTCCCGTTTATTATGCATACAAGAGATGAATGAAGTGGGACGAGAGTTACAAAACCCAACAACCCTATTATGAGTAGAGGATTACTATTCAAGCTTTACTCAACGTTAATCGGGTGTGAAATTGAAGAGAACATGCCGGCTTAGCACAAAACTAAAAGAAGTGGGCTCTTTCAGTTTCATATACATAGCAAAGATGATTAAAACGAAATATGTTTTATAATCAATAACCCTATTACGAAAACGGGTTGCCATTCTATCCAAGTATTACCAAAGTTGAATTAGGTGATGGGATTGAAGAAAATACTTGCTTAGGGTACATTTTATCTTTAGGGTTTGGGCAGGTGGGTTTCCATTATGTAGATAATCTACCATTTCCAATATCCAACAGTCTTTTTTCTTATTCTTATTTCTTGTCAATTTGGTACACACTTGGCCTAACATTAACCATTGGGGTCAGTCTCGTGACTGTCAAGGTCCCTATAGCTATTGGTTTTGGAGGGTACAGACAGAATCATGTCTTTTAGGAAGTTTGTGGGCCAATCTTGCACTATATAGTTGTACTTCCCTCCATCCCTACTATTCTAGTTGGTTAATGGGTTGCAGAATCACATTTAATATTAGCAATTCCCCAAAAATTTCTATCATATACTAACTCGGGGAAGAAGAGAGTGAAAAATAAATAAACATTAATTTCCTCTCCAACCAAACCAAAACTTGAAGAAAAGGGGACCAAACATGAAGGTATTTATCTAGACTGTGCATCTAAACGATGACATCTTGACATATATGATACTTATTACTTATGAAAGATAAAGTCTTCACATGATATTTTGATTCATTACTACATCTCGTGTCTTTCTAATAAAATATTTTTTGTAACGGTTTCACTATAAAGGTTTGTACATTATGTGATAGGCTGTCTATTCAAACTCTGACATCTTGATAAATGATTTTTTTTGCTAATATTTTGATGTATTAGTTATTCATTTTTTCCCCAATGTTGATAGATTTTTTATTTATCAACATTGATGTATTAGTTATTCAAACTCTGACATCTTGATAGATAGATTTTTTATTTATCAAAGCGAGTTCGTTTACTATAGAGGCTTATGTGTGTTTCAATGTTGATAATTCAACCACCCCCTTCAGATATAGAAACATAATTAATCAGAAAATATCTTAACTTATTATTCAATTTGGATTGATGAAACCGATATATACAACCACTTGCTAGGATATTTAATCAGTCATCAACTTTACAAGTTCATCACCACACTTCAAATAAATAGGTTTATCTGTCCGATTTCTTAAACGAAATAAAAAATATATGATGATTAACGAAGCAATAACTTTTATATGATTCAACCGGATCCGACTCTTCTCCTCCTCGTATATTATCCTCTTCCAAGTTAGTTCCTACCACAACAACCAAACCTATCTCCAATTCTCCATCACGTTCACGCTGCCTATTGTCATGGTCATCTATAACATGCTCCCTACCACAAGCAAAGCATGGTAACCATAAACCAACTTCTTTCTTTCTTTCTTTCTTTCTTTCTTTCTTTTCCGCAAGGTTGGAAATGGAACTCACATTGTTTAGGGTGACAGGTAACCAAATGCTTTTAAGGATAACCAATTAATTGCCTTGCTAATCAAACACCAAACCCACATTGTTCATTCATCACCCCTAATTCTCTACCTCCCTTCAACATCATCATTATAATGTGATCTACTAACCACCCTTTTCCTTTTGTTTATAGCTTTCTAATTTTGCGCCTAAACTTGTGCCTTCCTTTACTCCCATCTTCCACCATCGCCAATTTGCACGTTCACAAGCTGATGCTTTAAGCTTTGGATCTCAACCTACTCTATTTTCTTTATTCGGTTTATAGGTAGCTATTAAAATGATAATGTATTTGGAATAAAATCAAACAGAATGATAGATTATTAAATAAATTTAACTTCACTAAAATGATGTTAAAAGATGTCTCAAATTTGTTGCTATGGGGAGAACCATACTTCTCCGGTGATCTTATTTGTATTTTGTTTCCAGTTAATTTGTAGCTATGTTGCGTTGTTGGTCAGATTTGCTATCACCTCTTCAAAAGAGGAAATCGTTGAGATACATAGGGACAAAAAGGGATCACACATCCCTTGAATGAAGCGAAGAACAGAAGTCGAACCTCTTTAACATTTGAGGCGACAAAATCAGAGCACGACAAGTCACACAATGAGCCACTCTGTTTCGAACTCTACCTATAAAATGAATCTGATAAGCACTGAAGAGAACTGTGAGAAGGTGAAATCCCGGCCCGTGGAAAATTTGGCTATATACATCAGGCCCAAAGTAGACGGACTCAATTGCGCAACTGAACCGTAGGCCCAAAATTCACAAATCGAAGTCCATGAGCTAGGAGGTTACAATAAACCCAAGAGAAAGTCCGAACGGGCCGTGCCGTTACAGAAATCTCAGCGCTTCGTACTAAAAGCCAGCAGCAGTACGGCTACCGATGGCGAAAGGAACAGCTAGCCAGCCTACAACGGAGCTACGAGACAATGTTAAGCACCAAGGAAGACGGAGAACGTAATCCCGCCGGAAATTAGCGACGACAACTCACGAGTTTGATCCCATTTTTTACTGCACACTACCTGAAAACTACGTTACAATCCAGGCTGGTGCCTTGGTAAACATCGACCCCCTATGCATTGCTCTTCCCTCCAGCCTTCTACAAATACCCATTACCACAAAAACCTTTTTACTAAGCAATCCTCTCATTCACCGCTTGGGAAGAAGCTAAGTACTACTAGCAACTTCCGAAGAAAACATGGGTCATCATGACGAGATCCACCATGACGATCACCACCACCACGATGATCACCACCACGAAGCTCCTCCACCGGCAAGTAAGTAATCAAACCATCGATATACTGATGATATTCTCATGGCTTTACGATGGTTCACACTTAACACGACCATACATCATTTTTTCCAACCAGTGTATCCACCACCGGGTCACCATGCATACCCACCTCCTCCGGTTCCAGAATGCCCGCCGATGGGGCATGCTTACCCACCACCGCAACACACTCCTTACCCGCCCCCACCACCACCACAGGCGGCGCCCTGTTATGCTCATGATCCACACGCTGCTGCACCGCCACCGGCTGGTTACCCGGTCGTGGTTGAGCAGCATGGGCACGAGCAGCACCAGCAGCCTGCTACTGCAGGCACCCAGAGCAAGGGTGATGGCTTCTGGAAAGGATGGTATGCAAAATGCAATACATTTCAGCATTTCTATTTAGCATTCCTTCATTCCATCTATAACTAACCTAAATATGTTCTTTCTGCCTGAAAATTGCAGCGCTGCCGCGCTATGCTGCTGCTTCGCCTTTGAGGTCTGCTGTGACTAAACAACACTCTGCAGTGCAACTACGACTACCATTCAATCTCAGTTGTTCTATGGTTCAATGAAAGCATATGATACAATATGCAATTTTTCATGGTTTCAGTAAGCTTATTATGCTATGTAACCACAGAGCTCTATAAGATTTCAGCTTCCATTTTTGTTCCTTCTACTCACAATCCAACACTGTTCTTCCTATTTAAGTACCAGTAACTGGCAACTAATCTTGCATTGGCAGCAAAGTTCGAATCTAGAATGAAAACAAGAATAGAATTGAGCAGTACTCTAAGCTTACACAATCACCGTGTTAAGACTAGAACATCATAACAAGCAAGTAATTTCATATTGGCTGCAAATGTTCGAACCCAGAAAGAGTAATGCTAACCAAGATTAAACAACAAAGACAGAATCAAATTCAAGCAGTACCCTAACGATACAAAATGACAAAGGAAAATAACAGCTAAAAACCTCCACGGGAAGCCAATTCGAAAGCAGATTTGACTTCCCTTTTCAGAACCTGAGCTTGGAGAAGAACCACCTGTTCTTGCCGGACTTGAACCTCTCCTCGAACCTCTTCTTGATCTCCTTCGCCGTCGTGACCTTCTTGTCCTTGGTCACCAGCGAGTCGGGAGTCACCACGTCCTTCAAATCGACGTCGAGAGTATACCTCGTCGGCATGATGTGTGTGTAGTTCACGACCTTGATGAAGGCCTTGACCTTGGACTTCTTCGCTGTTTTCTTCGCCGAGTCCTTGCGAATCACTTTCGCAGGGTACTTCTTGATCCCGGCGACCAGGCAGTGGCCGTACGGGCGGTCGCGAGTGCCGTCGTCGAACGAGCGGACAATCACCGCCTTCCGGCCGGCGTAGCGGCCCTGGAGGAGCACCACTGCCTTGTTCGGCTTCAAAAACTTCACCATCTCGCCTTTCTTCTTATCTGGGTTTGCTTCTGATTTCTTTTGCTTCGAAGCTTTCTTTGTAGCAATGGCTGCTGCCTACTGCCGCTGGTTTTAGGTTTTATTGATTAGGTTTAGCGCGAGCGACTGGAGTGCCGCGAAAGTGTGGGCTTTGGGCCTTTAAAAGCCCACAGTTCCAAATTTGTAAGGGGTTGGGTTTGATTAATTGAGCCCACTAATTTTAGGCGGGTATCTTGAATTTTAGGTGGGTATCCAGTGGGTGAAGTTCGGGTTCGGGTCAGATCCACCGTTTTCTTATCTGAACTTCTGAAATGGGGGAAAATATCTCTTCCCTTTTCGTGTAATCGTTAACTGGCCATGATGACGGCAGGGTACACCGCTCTGGCTATTGCTGCCGGCGTCGGTGTTGGGACTCCTTTCTCCGGTGAGTTAAATCAACAACCGGGTAGTACAAAGTCGAAGCTATTCAGCCGTGTAACAAGTCGTCCTTCAGCTTTTTGCTTCGCTCGTCATCAATTTGTAAGGCAGAAGAAATGCTTCTCGCTACCAAACAACAACTCGAATTTGAAACGGAGTTTCGCCCTTCGGAAAGACGCCGACGACAACTTCTTGAAGGTACGGGTTGAGAATTTTATGTTTTGAAGATTCTGAATCGTTAAGAGTTTTTTCTTCATTTAATGTTCGTGCTTTTTTACAGAATGCGGAAGACGTCGACGAAGTGTTCGACGATTTGTTCAACAAATACGGGAAAGTGGTGTTCAGAAGGAACGAGCAGAGGCCTTCAATCGCCGAGGTTGATGACGATGCTGAAACCTTGTCATGTATGTTCAATTGGGCCACACTTCAAATCTTCGTTCCTGCATTTCGCTGCTGAGAAATTACCTAATATCCACTTTTGGCTGGTTTTTGGGTTTTCAGTTGCGGTGGCGGTGGCCAAAGTTGCGAGTGATGTTAAAGCTGGCGACATAAAGGTCCTGTTTGTGAAGCCTCTGGTGTACTGGACTCGCTTCTTCATAATCGCCACAGCATTTTCCCGGCCCCAGATTGATGCAATTGCGTAAGATTCTACCCATCTAACCTAGTGATTTTATTCCTTTTTGTGGTGTTGGGATGGGGATAGATACCAATTTGGTTACTGAACTTATTAGGATCTGCTCAGCGCTAATAGTCTTCTCATGTATGGTTGCCCACTGTGAGGCATATACGAGCGAGTTTGAAGACCAAATCGGTATTTGACCTGCTTCCTCTGAAGCGGATTTGATTGTTTAATGGATGACATTACTTGCATTGCAGGTCAAGGATAAGAGATCTTGGCGAGAAGCAGTATGGGAAAGTTCCATCTGGAGACACAAAACCAAACTCATGGACCCTTTTGGACTTCGGTAAGTTCTCTGCCCAACTCTCATAGTTGTCGACATCGATGGATGTCTGAGAAATATTGATGCCTATGAATTGTTGTTGTCGGAGTGTTTTTAGGTGACGTAGTGGTGCACATATTTCTTCCCGAGCAGAGGGATTACTACAACTTGGAGGAGTTCTATGGTAATGCGAAATCGATTGATCTCCCCTTCGAGAATCAGCCTCCTCCATTCCGCGGCTGACAATGAATAGCAAGTGTATTGAACTCAAGCTTGAGTTGTATGCCATTCGTGAGCTAGAGCGAGCTTCTTTCGAAGGCTTGCAGAGGCTCAAACAGCCAAAGACTGGAAAGTTTACAGGGCGAGAATGGTTATAGGACGGGGATCGCCTTTTTTGGCCATGGTGCCGGTACCATTGTAATGGGTTAGTGTTAGATCGCTGGTGTAGTTGATGCTGTCATTTGGCGTTGGGAGTGTAACCTGTTTTTGGCCATGGTGCCGGTGCTATTGTAATGGGTTATTGTTAGATCACTGGTGTAGTTGAATAGAAGTATAGAACACCGCTGGACCACTGTAATGGGTTTCTGAAGTAGTTGCAGATACCAATTGTAAACAAAACACTCTTAATCAAGAAACTATTTCAGACTTCTAAAACCCATTGCATAGTACATTTCCCACAGTTACAGATGATCCTTTCTCGTCTTTTTTCTTGTTCTTTGTACCTTAACTTACACATTTCATACATGTCAAAAGATCGAATAGAGCATGGCTTGACCAGCAGTTTGCACCTGGTAACTCCTTATCACCGGAACATGCGACAGAGTGGACTAAGGGCTGATGGGCCCTAAGCGGAGACTTTGATTGATGAGTACTACAGTCCGGCGGAACACTTCTTATGGGCATCGATGAAGTTGCAGTAAGAAAGGAGCCAGGATCAAAGCACACCAACCAATGCAACATTACCGCTGCAAGCCTATCTCCTTGTGTCATGACTCAGGAGGCGAACTGACAATGAGGGCTTTCACCTAAGAAGAAGCTTCATGGCCTGTGCAGTGTTCAGGATTGATTTTGAACCAAAATTTCCAGCAGAAGCTTTCAGACATACATCTCAAAGGCTAGTTCCTGGGCAGCACATGAAGACATTGTTATCAGAGTAGCATAAAAGCAAAGATGCACATAATTCACCAAGCAATCGAGCTCAAGTGATGGAATTTATTTAGGGAGACATACAGCTACAGAATGTCTGAGTGCTGACTGCCACCTCGTCCAGATTCTGTAAGACCCATATCTATATCTTGAGTTGCAGTCCAACCAGGCTCGTATGCTTCGAGAAACCCCATCTTTGCCTTGTTAGGCAAGTCGTGAGGGTGAACGAACGGCACGCCAGGTGGCCACCCAATCTCCATTCTGATATTGGCACAAGGACTATCTACATCATTAACATGACTCTCACACTCTTTTAAGTTACAGAACCTGAGCTTGATCCCCTTCTTATCAGCAATATCCTGAACTCTCTCCTTGAGTACCCTCTGTGCATCGAGCCGCAACCTCTTTGAAGGCGGTAGAGGTTTGCATCTTGAATCGTTACTCTTTCTTCTCTTCATTGCGGGCTTCATCACAGATCCTGTACCAGCATGTCATCGATCCAACGACCTGCTGTTAAAGGACTTCTTACTAAGGCCAATTCCAAATATAAGAAAACAGAATGCAGATGTGAAGATAAAAACTACTGCAACTAGGTGTCCTTAAATTATGCTTAAAGGATCAACAAGACATTTATTGTTGCATAAGCAAAAACTTAGTTTTGGTCATATCACTACCATATGTTGCCAACCCAGAATGAAGATTTTGAACCAGAGAGTCAAACTATTCTGCATCAAATTCACATAAACAAGATTCAGGCATATTCTCGTGATAGCGCATACCGTCTTGAGAGGAGGGGAACCCGAAGCCCTGATATCCGTGCTTGTTCAATATATAATCAGTAGTGTGTGACCTCTGCATAAAGTCATCCACTAGCACTGGCAGCTGGAACTGAGATTCAACACCGTGCCCAGCTGCTCTCATCTCCGACGAACTAAGATTGGTCATCGATTTTGGCATAAGCTTAAATGTCAAAGAACATCTTCCATACATATTACTCTGCATGCCGCTACCAGTATCGGTTCTATGAAGCGCAGGGTTCACATAACCTGCTGTCGCCTGGTAAAGTGCAAGCCCTGGGAAAACAATAGCTTCTTGAGGACCAAGATCACCATCTACAGGAACCCATCTCCCATTAAAGTCTCTAATATGAAGCCCTGCTTTATCCGACTTAACCAGCGATATCAAGCTCTTGTCGACATGGTGATTGTCGTCTTCACACAAACCACCCATTTGGCCATGAGCTCCCTGAAACGACGGCCTTGCGTGACAGCAAACCGATAACACAGAAGACGATATCTCTCGACCTCTCAAGGGCATATTATCGAGTATTTCAGCGAAAGGCGAGCTGCGCAAATTCAAATAGAAGCTAATTGCATCCAAGATACCCCGAGCAGCTCTCCCCAGCAGAGCAAAAATGTCAGGCAAGGCTCCAGGAGGAGGGAGGAATTCAACGGAGTTGATTGAAGAATGCTCGTCGAGAGGCGTTAAACCAGGTCTGTAATCGTATGTCTCCTGCCACAACTGAGGATCAGCGAAGTAACCAGACGTCCTGCACCACTCGCGGGAATCGTCACTCTCAATCACGTCGGGGAACGATGGCCTCTGGTGGAAGTAGAGGCGCGCGGAATCCAAACCCGACCTCAAGAGAGCTCCGTCGCTGGATGAGAATTGAATGATGGCGGCGGAGTACTGAGAGAGAGACTGGGATAGAGTAGAGACTGATAGCTTGTAGGAATCGGAAGGGACGCCGTCGGTGGCGATAAGATCGCTGAGCTTCACTCGGCCTAATGTCAGCAGGCCGTTGGCGGCCATGAAAGTACTTCTCCGCTGGCTGACGAAGGGAGAACAACCAAATATTGGAGGAAATGCAAAGAGCTCCACGATGCAATCAATCAAACCAACTACAGTCGGCGTCTACAATACTTCCCGGAGGAGCGACAATGGCGACTTCAGCAGACGATGGTTACTTCGCGAATGGAGGAGAATGCTTGGAGTAAATGGTTGGTGACGAATTGGGAATTTAGGGTTTGGACGAGAGGCCAAAGAGGTAAGAGAATGAGAAGCGTTCTTCCTCTTCTTCATCGTTGTATCATATATGATTCAGCTGATCTCTGCCTGTCCCCTCCCCTCATTTTCTTGCCACGTAGCTCCTTCCAATATATATTGGTTGTGGGCCTTGTGGCTAGAGGTAGGAATGGCAATGGGCAGGTCCGGGGCGGGTTTCTTGGTACCCAGACCCGCCCCGTGGCAGGTCGGGTCCAGGTCGGGTAATTGATCACGGGTCGCGGGTCGGGGCAGGTCGACCCAATGGGTATGCAATTTATATGAAAACATTAGAAATATTCGTTATTTCTATTATAAGACTAAGAAAACAAACAATATTGTGACAATTGTAGTTAAATTATTGGAGAAATTGAGGTTTTTACTAATTTACAACTTTATTATAGCTAAAATATGATGCAATAAAAGGAAAATTCTAAGTAATTTGACTAAGATTACATGTAATTTAGACAATAACGGGTCGAGAATGGGGCGGGTCAGGGCAGGTCGGGTCGATGAGACTACCCATACCCGCCCCGCCCCGCCTACGGGGCGGGTCGGACCCGCCCCAAAACAGGTCAAACAGGTCGGGTAAAATGGGTCAGGTCGAAATTGCCATCCCTAGCTAGAGGTGGCAAGTGGATAGAATTCGTGGATTCGTGGATCCATAGATTAAATGGATTGGATCCAATGAATTGGTGGATTGATCTATGAATCCAAATAACATCCAAGGCTTGGACCAAAATGTAAATTTGGAAAAGTTTAGGTACTAAAATGTCATAATGAAAAATTTTAGGCACTAAAATGTAATTTTCCAATGATAATTTTCGTATAAAAATATAAGTTTCATGTACCAAAATGTAAAATATAAAAAATATAGGTACCAAATCATAATTTGCCATTTGGATCCATGGATGGATCCATGAATCCACCAATCCAATTGGATTTAGATCAAATTGATTAGATTAGGTGGATAATTTGATGGATGATTGGATTGGATTCATGGATTTGGATCCTAACTGCCACCTCTAGTTGTGGCCTTGTGGGTATAGTTCATATGTTTTGTATTGTTTGTAAATCTGTTTATATGTTTTATGGTTCTAGTTTATATTGTTTGTATTGTTTGTAAGTTTGATTTGTATACTTCGTAATTTTATATAATATCAAATTACCCACGTCGCTAATTAAAAGCTTATTTCATTTTCTAATTGTTAGATTGGTGTGTCCAGATCTAATGGTTATGAGGGGTTTCGTGAAGTCCCAAATTCAACCCAATTGTTTTTAGACATACAAACATGGTAGATAAAAATGATAAACTAGATCGACAAACCATAAAAAATGGAAAAATAGTCGGGTTGACTTTGGAGACTCCATCACTATATAGAAGAGTTTCGTCCATAAGTCAACCAAGTTGTTTTTTAGACATACAAACAATACAAATATGGTGGACAAAAATGACAAACTATACAAACCATACAAACTAGATTTACAAACAATACAAACCATACAAAATGTATTTACAAACAATACAAACCATATAAAATGGAAAAACAATCAAGTTGATTTTGGAGGCTCCGTCCCTATATAGTGGAAATCTGTCCAAAAGTCAACCAGATTATTTTTTAGTCTTATAAACATTACAAAATAAATCGACAAACATTACAAAGCATACTAATATCTCTCTCCCATAGTTGCACCTATGCTGGGAATGGGGAAACCGCCCATAAAAGTGACCTCCTGTGCTAGGAATGGGGGACCGCCGGTGCTGGGAATAAGTCGGGGAGGACTGGCCACCAGGAGGAATTTCCCAGAAAGGACCGGCGATAACGACGATCGTGGGTAGCAGTGGGCCCACATTATTTTTGTTTATTTTAATTACTAAATAAATTGTGTATTTAATACCATACCCTTCATTAAATAAGATTAATTACAACCATTAAATTAAAACTTAAATGAATGGTTGATATTGGTTTAGTCATGTGACTAATGGACCCATTAGTAATAACCTGGTCTTATCCCAAGTTTCACTCCACAATTATTGAGCTATATAAATACAATTTCACTAACATACTACTATACTACTACTTCCAACCAAGGTTGTCAACCTGGTTTGGCCCATCCGCCCGGTTGAGTAAGTAGGCAAATGGTTAATGCGCTAATTGGATTAGCTCGTTTTATCCCATTTTGTACACAATTTAAAATACATACATATAATCTAATGAGGACAAAGTTTGACAACAGATTTGTAACTTAATTTCAAATACATAATTTCATTACTATATATTTACTTATTTTCAAATACATAAATCAAATGAGACGGAAGAACAGTGTTGAGAATGGAGCCAAGATATAATGGGATAATAGCTCTGCAATAAAACTCTTTAAGGAATTACAGTCGTTCATGGCATATCCAAACATATTAATGTGAGAACTGGTGAGCAAGTAGCTAAAGTGATGACAAATGCACTGAAGTTGGAAGTGTTTGAATTGATGTGAGAAAGGATGGGAGTCTGTGATGCTGATGATGTTCCGAAAGAAGAAGAAGATGAACTGAAGAAGAAGAAGAAGGAATCTTCAGTTCAGGGAGGATGTTGGAACTTGGAACTTGGAAGGAGGTTCGAATCCGAATTAGTGAAGGAGAGGAAGACTTGGCGCGAAGGAAGACAGAGATTCAAATTCAATCAAGTTAAAGTTGTGTTCTTTTGGTCATTGAAAGTTTAACTCGTGTCTGTTAGAGTCAATTCATGTTTTAGAGTTGCATTTGAGTCTGTTACGTTGTGCTGAAGTCAGAGACTTTCGATTAGCTAGCTAGTTTGTAGGAACGTTGATTCAGTCATGATTGGTGGTAGGGCTGGCAATTTGGTCCAAGACTGTTTGGTTTTACCCGAAACCGGACCGTATAACTCGGACCAGGATCGGACTGGGACCGAATAGCAAACAATCCAATCTCATATTCGGGCTTAGATTTGAGGTAAAAAAACCCTAATAAAGACCAGATAAGAGACCCCAACACTCAAATCCCCACAAGCTCAATCTAAAATCAAAATCAAATTGGGACCGGACCGGTTCAAGACCGGACCGGATCAAGACCAGAATGTATCCAATCCAACCTTTGGTCCTTATATTCCCGAAAAGACCGGACTGGGACCGGATCAATTTGGTTTAATTTAACCGGACCGGACCGTATAGCCACCCCTAATCGGTGGGAAGCCGAGATTGTATGCTGGATCATTGTACTTATGATTCACAACGTTCATTTTAATAAAATTGTCGGTTTGCAATAAATTTGAGTTTACAGTATGATCACTAAAATATAAACAACCACGATCTGTATAATCTATTTAGGTTGACCTAATAAAACTTCTATTGAGTTAGGATTTTATCTGAAATGCTTGAAATTTTGTATTTTGCAAAATTCAAGCCTGACTCAATCCGATTTTCTCAAACTTCGGGTTACCCAACTACTTTATTTGAATGATTCAAAACATGAACTAAGCGACCAAATTGAACATGACCAAAACGACTCAACATCATGTAATTAACAGCTACTTTATTGGAGTTCCGTATCGACGATTCAACCACGAAATAACAATATCGGAGGCTAAATCGATAGAAAGTATTTAACGGTACTAACAATTAAACTACGATTTTACCATAAAATACCCTACCACTGACTTTTCCGATACGGTCTCCGGTACGATTTCATGAACCATAGTACACCCATATCATCAATTATATTGAAAAGCTAGCATAAATGCAAATTGATAGTCAAAAGTACAAATCAAATACGATCGTCACTGTACAATACAGTACAGTACGATCCATACTAGCTAGATGAATCTCACCAACCAGGCATAAATTTGCATACTCGTGCATCCTTAAAAAAAAGGCAGTCTAACTTAACTAATTACTCCAATGCAGCCATAAATTCCGTATCACTTTCCAGACGCGCCGCCATCTCCGGCGACAGACAAATCTCAACGTCGACGCTCCCGTTCTCAACCCCGGGATACACCGTGAGCTTCCCGTCGAATTTGTTCCCGGAACCGCTCCTCACCGCCACGGGCTTCCCCCACCCGAAATCGTTACCGTAGACGTCGAACCTCGGCGAGCTGCTCAGCACCATCCCTCCGGCGACAAAACCTCTCACCGTCGGCATTTTCGGATTCTCGATCCACGACTCCACCGCTCCCTTCAGCTTCTCGACCGTCAGCCCCGCCACCACCTTGTTCACCTCCGCCGCCACGCGTCCCAATCCCTTATCGCGTCCTCCTGACAGCTCTTTCAACTTAACCACTATGGGCCACGGAATCACCGCGTTCCCGAAGTAGTCTTCAGGAACAAACCTCGACCGCAATCCCACCTGGACAATAAATACGGCTTCCTCCTCCGAATCTGGATCTGGAATATTCTTGTTTCGAATTACCTGATACGTACAAGAAGGTATAATGGACAAAAAAAACAATTAATTTATACTTTATTGATTACTCAAAAGTACTCTCGAATTTTTACTTTGTTGTCACTGCACCAACTCAATAAATTTTTGTGTAAATTAAAATTAGCTCAAACAACTAATATATATATATATATGTAAATCAATGCAGTCAAAAGCGAGATTCTACCTAGAAGCGATTGGGTGACCTAGAAGTGTAAAACCGTAAGCTTTTAAGTTTTAAAATGTAGATTTTGACTACATTTGTATGGGAAAATCACGATTATACGTAGAAACGTTTTGGTGACCCAAAAAGGTAAAAATATAAGCTTTTAAATTTTAAAGCGCGATATTGACTGCATTGGTGTAAATTAAAATTAGCTAGTCCACTCAAGTTAGAAAATGAAATTCGTAACATTACCGCCCTCCACAGGTGAGAGATTAGCGACTGGAGAGAAGATATGTTGCCGCGGAAGCCGGCGATGTCGGCTGCTTCGGCGTTGGCGCGTGATTTTAAATCCTCGAGTTTCCGGCGGCTGAAGTGTAGGATCCGCTCCTTCAACTTCAAGACGATTTTGTCGTCGTCTTCTTGTTCGAGTTCTTCGATTTTGGTGATGGGGATCTTGATGGGCCGGTGCTTCTCGTCGATAAACCAGTCTCTGGAGAAGGCCGCCGCCGTCGACGAGGAGGAGTCGTCATCACCCTGCCGGCAGAGTGCGGACCATAATTTGACGAACTTCCAGATGGTGGCGCCGTCGGCGACGGCGTGACTAATCGTCCAGCCGACGAATATCCCGTCGGAGAGCTCGGTGACCTGGACGGCGGCCAAGGGATGGTGGAAGCCGTGGTGGTTTCTGAGCCAGTTTAGGGGGAAGAAGGACCAGAGGACGGGAGGGATGTATACGGGGTCTAGGATGTCGGCGACGGAGACGCCGGCGGCGGAGGCGTGGACGAACGGAGCTCCGGCGTCGTTGCAGTCGATGTAGACGGCGGCGGTGCCGTCTTCGGGGTGTTCGTCGGCGGAGAGGCGGCCGGCGAACGGGTAGAACGAGGCGAGGGCGGCGGAGAAGGAAGATTTCAAGTTGTCGACGAATGCGGCCGCCGCCGACGTGTCCGCCGCCGCGGGTTTGCGGAAGAGAAGTCCCTTCTGGATGGTTCCGACGAGAAGGAGGCGTAGGTCGCACGGCGTGAGAGGAATCCTCTCGGAAGGTGGCGTGGTTTTGTTGTTGGCGTGGACTAGGGATGTGGAGAGAACTTGAACTCTGACGTCATCATCGTTCGCCATTCTAATTTTTTTCCCGTTTGGAGCGCAAGTTCAAAGCTCGGAGGGACTACGTGATAATTGGCTTGGGTTGGGCTAATATTTATCTTGCTTACAGAAATTCATCACTTCTAGAGGTGACAATTTCAATCCAATCCACCAATCCAATCCATCAATCCATTAAAAATATCCACCTAATCCAATCCATTTAAATCCAATCCATTTGATCCAAATCCAATTGGATTGGTGGATTCATGGATTGGATCCATGGATCATTGGCAAATTACGGTTTAGTACCTATAATTTTTATTTTTTACATTTTGGTACCTAAAATATTATTTTTTATACGAAAAATATCATTGGAAAATTACATTTTGGTACCTAAAATTTTTCATTGTGACATTTTAGTACCTAAACTTTTTACATTTTACATATTGGTCCTTGGTTGAGGATGTCATTTGGATTCATGGATAATCCACCAATCCACTTGATCTAATCCATGAATCCACCAATCCATTAAATCCAATCCATTTGATCCATGGATCCATCAATCCAATCCACCAATCCACCAATCCAATCCATTTGCCACCTCTAATCACTTCAAATAACAAACTTTATCAAATCGAATCATATAAACTCATTCTCACGAGGGCGGCTAGGCCAGGCTAGGCTAGGCTAGGGTTTCTACCATGCCGGCCAGTTGAACCAGAGTGTCGGTCATGAAACAGGCATAAATACTATCGATATGACCAACATGATCGAATTACCAATTCTAGGGATGACAACTTTGCCCATACCCATGGGTTTTTTACTATCCAACCCAATTGGGTTGGGTATGAAATCCAAATAGATGGATATGGGTAGAGTTTGATGGATTTGTACCCATACCCATTTACTTTGGATTGGGTTGGGTTTATATCAAATGGATTTGGGTTTGTACTCATGCCCAAATACAAATTACAGTTTGGTACCCAAAATTAATAAATATGCATATTTAGTACCTAAATTTAATTTCTTTGCATATAAGTCCTCAAAACATCGATGGAAAATTACGTTTTGGTACCTAAATTTTTTTGGTCTTACATTTTGGTACCTAAACTTTTCAAGTTTTCACAAATAGGTCCAATTTTTGCATGTGTAGTTAAAACACCATCAAGTAAATGGATATCCATATCCAACCCATATCCATTTAGATTATGGAAGCAATATTCATACATTACTCAAACCCATCTATAAACACCCAAATCCATATGCACTTCACCCATACCCAACCCATTATCAATGGGTCTACTTGGGTTTGGGTATAATTACCCATGGGTGGGTAATTTGCCATCCCTAACCAATTCTAAGTAAAATGATGTTGTTTTAGTAAATTTGATTGATAAAAATGAATTTATTGTATGTTTTATGAATATAAAAGTTAAAAGTTGATGTAATTTGTTGGATTCAGATATAAACGTTTAGATATTAACGTTAAAGGGTAAATGACACATTTGGTCACTGAGGTTACTAAATCGTGTCATATTTAGTCACTAGAAAAATTTAATATCAATTTTGGTCACTCGAATTACTGACACAGGTCACATTTGGTCACTCTTCTGTAGCCTCTGTCCAACTCCGGTCACTCGAATTATTGAAAAATGTCACATTTAGTCACTCGTATTACTGAAACATGTCACATTTAGTCACTCTCCCAAAAGTTTCCGTCCAACTACATTAATGGAGTTGGACGGAAACTGACGGGAGAGTGACTAAATTTGACCAGTTTCGATAATTCGAGTGACCAAAATTGATATTAATTTTTTCTAGTGACTAAACATGACACAATTTAATAATCTCAGTGACCAAATGTGTCATTTACCCTAACGTTAAATGTTGTATTTAAGTATGAGTATTTTTTTATTTTATTTGGAATGATGTATTTTATTAAACCAACATAAATCGATCCAAACCAATTTTACCACTAATCATATCATTACACTTGCTAAACCGGTATAATGGTATAAACCGGTTATACAATCTTACTTTTACACTGTGGAGAAGGTTGTTAAGGCATTTAATTTGTTCAACGTTCTCTTTTGATCTCCTCAATCACACAGTCTCCGGACAGTGACACGGCAATTCTGAATGTTTCACGTGTCTCTTCTTGCAATTTAACAGGGAGGCCCATGCAATGCAAGTTGTTGCAACGCTGGACCATCACCACGTTCCCGATGTTTCATGCATGTGATGCACATTGTCCTTCCGTTTTTTTAAACGATTTTCGGTGACGGAAAAAGAAAATCTGGCTGGCGGGTGTTGTCGGCGTTTCGGCTCAGCCACATGATTTTTTTTTTTTTTGAATAATGGTGAGCTTTTATATATAAAAAAGAAAAATAAACTTATCTACCAAAATTCATCGGGACGGACAAACCAAAAAAGGAAGACGAAAATAATGGCTTCACTAAAGGAGTGAGAGTCAAAAAAAAAAAAACCAAACAGAAGCAACAAGGGACATAAAGGGCGGTACCATGAACAAAACAGGAGAAACAAAAGCTCAGCCACAGGATTTATACGAAGCTGGCTTCTAAGCCTCGTCGGTTCACACGGAAAGAGAAGAGCATCTCATCATGGAAATCAGGTTTTAGGTATTAATGCTTAACTGATCGGACAGTTCAGTTAATTTGGGATCGATCGGTTCAAGCAACTGCATGCAGATAGATGGTTTGATTCAATAAGTACGTGTTTGGGAAGTGTACGTGTCTTCGATCGCCCGATCGAGCAGATTTCAGGCCGGTTATGATCACTAATTGCCGCAAAATATATAGCATATTAGCATGCATGAGAGAAAAATTACCGTCTGTTGAGCAGAGGTGCAACTCAACCCTCATTGTCCAGTTAGCTTGAAATGCCGATAGAAGAAGGGATTTCACCGGCACTACTCTACTCCTTTAATTTGAGCCACATTCATATGTCTGACCTATACAATCCTACCCAACCAACCATGTTACAACTGTTGTTATAAATGTTTGTATTCAAAACATATTATGTCATCTATAATTATATATATTTGCGTCCAATCAAGGTTGGAGCTAAGAATTTTCCCGATAGAACGATATACGAGTTTTAAAATAGTAATTTGTAAGTTGTAGCTTGTATTATTATTTTATTATTATGAAACCAACAAAAGAGTTTATATAGATTACAAGACTTGGACAATAATTGTAATACTAGAAGGAGACGAAAATACTAAAAACTATACTAAAAGGACAAGGAAATACAAGATTATTCCTAATCTATCTTTATCAAAGGGGTCCATGCAGCGTTGGGTCTCGACTCATAAAATTTGACTCACAAGCTCACAACAATTAACATGTGAAAAATAATAAATCGTCGGTGGCACATTCAAATCAAATTTCGACCAAGAAAAAGGACATGCAATGAGTCAATTCGTGTAGATGTTACTTGGTACCAAGTTCAGGAACAAAACTAACTAGTTATATATATATAGTCGTTTCGTTTTAAAATTTGGGCACAGCTCCTACCACCACCAAGCCCCCTCTAATTAAAGTAATCATCCTGAAAATCCAAGAAAGTAATTCTTATTTTTTTATCAGCGCTTCGTAAACCAGATTCTTCCGTCGTATGACAAGCTAGATTCCACCAGGGAAGCTCGCATACATATGGCAACCTAGATTTTTATGGTTAATTATTATTCATAAACTCAAATCTCCATATTTACCAAACCTGAGTCCAGACCAATTATTTTTCATTTCGGTGTTTGAGTAGTTCGAAACTTGATTCTGATTTACCCGGCCAGGTTTTTCTCATGGTTTGTGAAACCGTATCGGTACGGTGGTTCAACCACAGAATGTCAGTATCGAAAGCTAAATCGATAAGCGGTATATAAGGATACTAACAATTGAACTACGGTTAAAACACGATTTTGTCATAAAATATCCCACCAACATTTTTTTTTTTTAAATCTTCGGTACGATTTCATGAACCATCGTTTTCCCGCCAGGCACAGACAGCACATAGAAAAACAAAAGTAGTAATTATTTGTCTGCCTCAACTTGGGTGCCCCGTCTGTAGTTCATGCAAATTAGTACAATTGGGTGCCCCGTCCAATAGGAGGTGAAGTAAAGGAAGGATAAGATTTTAGTGTGGGGAAGCTGTAGGGATTTTCGTTTTTGAAATAATAGTTGTAGGGTTAATGTAAAATTGTCAATATGGTACTTGTAAATTTCAGTCATCAAATTACTACAAAACATGTATAATTTTATAATATTCAGGCTAAATTGGGTTAAATCGAGGTAAAATTATCCAACCATTAATTCTTAACCCATTTAATCAACCGGGCGAAACCGGATTGACAACCTTGATAGATACTTCTTTTAGTTAGAACATTGAATATGTCACCGACGTTTTTGTTTTCTATATTTGGATCGTTTGAACTTACAAGTTGGTTATAAGTTTAAATTTAATAGATTACTTAGTCTAAACGAAAAGTAGAGGAGTATAACTTTAAAAATCGTTAGTCGAATTACGAAATCATTAACATTTTACATATAAATAGTACTCGATGTCCGAGAATAAGACAGTTGGAACTCTCACTAGCTCGGTAGCTCCCTCTAGTTCCAAAACAAACTGAACCGAATTGTAAACATACATGATACACCTGAATCTACAGTTCTAGACCAAACTTATCTTAAACCGTAGCTCACATCCCTTGAATCCATCCCGGCTGTCGATACTTAATTTGAATTAATTGTTCTCTTTTACGACAAGAATTGTTAATTAACACAGATTGTCATTTTTATTTTATCTTCACGTGTTATACATTTGTAAGAATTCATGCTCAGATCTAAAAAGAATTATCACAACGCCAACAAGTTTTTCCTCCACATCTAACTCTATAAAGGTCGGCAAAACCGAGTGAGTTGAGAGCCACCAAACCAAACCAAACCAAATCAAACCAAACTTCTTCTTCTACATCATCAATCGACCGTCGTCATGGTCTACAACTACCCGGTGATCGATCTGGCCCCTTTCATCACCGGCGGCGATGCTAAGAAGAAGGAGGAGGTGATAGAGAAGCTGAGGGAAGCTTGCTCCGACTACGGCTTCTTCGTGGCGGTCAACCACGGCATTCCGGACCAAATCATGGACAAAACCATGGACGCGACCATTGATTTTTTCAACCTCGATTTGGAGGAGAAACTCAACATCACCACTCCGCCGGGAGCTCCTTTCACCGCCGGCTATACCAAGGAGGCGGCCAAATCGGAGCATTGGCAGATGTGCACCCCCGCCCCCACCAACGTTTTCCCGGCCAACCCCCCACACTTTAAGTAATTATTCTTTTGACTCTTGATTTAATCTATTCAATCAACAAAATTCAAAAAATTTGAAAGAGAGTTTAAAGACCTTTTGATCACCAAAAAGCCTCTCAATACTCACTACATTCATAAAATAATTGTTAGAAAAATAGATAGAAGATAAATACTGGTACAATAATAAATTAAATTACTTTTTTCCTCCAATTAATATTTAGTGGGCACCGTAGCGCTTGCCTCAGCTCGGCATAATACATTACAATTAAGTATCATATATGATTTATTAGTACTAAATTAAATTCTCTCTAATTAGTAGCTAGCATGCATAGACGAAAAATTAACATATGTTAATGGTTACCTTGTACTAAATTATAAAGACGAGTGACATATAATAATTTGTAATTGTGTCCGCCCTACAAAATACTTAATTAATTTGTAACTATTATGTATCTGTATGTATAAATTAGGGAGACAATGGAGGAAATGTGGTGGAAGTTGGATGAAGCGGCGGTGTTGGTCCAGAGCTTGTTGAACGACTGCCTGAGACTCCCGAAAGGAACGTTGGCCAAGTACAACGACGACAGGGGAACCGATGTTCTGATGGGATTCCACTACCTGCCGGCGACGGAGACCGACCAGACCGCGGTCAACGCCCACAGGGACAGCGGTCTCTTTTCTTTGGTGTTCGAGAATGAAGTTGAAGGTCTTGAGTTTCTGAAAGATGGCGAGTGGATTCCCATCGATCACATCCCTCATTCCCTCGTTATCAACGTCGCTGATGCCCTCCAGGTATAATAATAATAATAAAATAAAAATTCAACCGAGTTTGAATAAGAATCTCAAGTCGAACTCGACGCATGCATGCAGGCACTGAGCAACGACAAGATGAAGAGCCCAACCCACAGAATATTGGCGCAGCCGGGGATAAGCCGATACGCCTTCGTGTACGCTTACTTGGTAGCAGAAGACAAATGGGTTGAGCCGATGCCCGAGTTGATCGGTCAGACCAACGAGTCACCCAAGTTCAAGAAGTTCAATATCAAAGAGCACATGGCGCTGAAGCACGTCTTCAAGAACCCTCCCCACTGGAACGACGTCGTCGGCGTTCATTACCATGCCATTGCTCCCTCCGTCGGCGCCACCGCCGTCACCACCGACTGATCGCTGTTGTTTGAAATCTCAATTAAAGTTCGATGTTAACTCTAAGGCTTTGATTCAGTTTGTTGGCCGTAAGAATAATTGTTCGCTGTTCGCCGTTAGTTGGCAAGAGTGGACTAAGTTGAGTAATTTGATTTTTTGAAAAAAATAATTAAGGGTCCGTTTGGCGGATGTCATTTATTGTGCAAGGTGTTTTTACAAAATGCGTGTATGTGGTTTTAAAGGGTAAAATGGGTAGGATAATGGGATTTATATTTGGCATTGGGTGCATATTAATCACTAGCATTTTATCTCGAGTATTTTTTTTTTTTTATTCCAAGGAAGATCTCGGTTGTCGTCTACAAGAGAGGTCCTTAGTAGTTGCAGACAAGGAGGACAATTTTCCCGTTATATAGCAATGAAAGCAAGAGTTAGGTCCCGTAGGGTCGTTTGAAAGTTGGGATTTTAGAGAATGTATTTGGCCAATACATGTAATCAGAAGAATTCGTCGTTTTTTGTCTTAAAATGAAACAAAATACTTGTATTTGAACAGCAGATGGGACCACCAGAATGATTCATTATGAATGATTGTAAATCACAGTTTTTAGCAGTGTTTGTGTTTGAGGGATTGTTACTTGCTTTTTCTTCCTTATTCATTGAGTTACCACCAAAATCATTCAATCTACAAACAATGTATTTTTCAAATTCATACATTTAAACAATACATCTAATTATAATACATACATTGATTAAATACATCAATTTAGAGAATGCCAACTTCCAAACATGCTCTACTAGTCTCTTTAAAGTGAGTGCTTTTCCCCTTCAACATTATAAGAAACACTAGCTCTGCCTCAAGCGAGCTAGGGTTTACGACCCCACCCAAGTCACTCGAAAAATAGAAGTTTTTATAACCTATAATTCAAATGACCCGACACCGATTAACCCATGATTTTTTGGGTCGGGTTGGGTGGGTTAGCAGGTCGACCGGTTAGACATGTTCCATTTCATATGTCACTCCAAAAATGATAAAATCACTCATAAATTGCTGAAATGTTTAAAAAAATTCACAAGAACTTGAAAGATATATTTGGAGTTTAAGGATAATCAAATATAATGTGTTTCTTGTTTTAGTATTACTCTTGTGATTATTGTTTGACGATTTGTGCAATGAGCACTTCTACTATGCTATATAGTATTGGTGCTTTAATGTACAACTCAAAGTTGTACCATAACATTAAATGTATAAGTTTAGTTTGTACCATAAAGCAATTTGTATCATTATGTTATGGTACAATTTTACAACTGGAAGTTGTACCATCACATAAAAGTACAAGTTCAAGTTGTACCATAAAAGAATTTGTACAAAAAGTATAGGTACAATCTGAAGTTGTACCATAACGTAAATGTACAATTTTAAGTTGTACCATAAAGGCAAAAACCTATAGCACCAATACTATATAGCATTGTAAAATTTCTCTTTGTGCAATATGTATTTCATTTCATTGGCATGGGAGGATTTCAGAATATGTTAATTGACATGTGTTAGGTAAACTAATGTCATGACCCGAAATGACATGTGGCTGGATTTCAGAATATGTTAATTTAAATATGAAGCATGTTTGATATTGTTTCTGAGAGCGCTCATAATCCGAAATGAACGATAACCTCACCCGAAATCAACCAACCCAACATGACCCGACCCGTACCCAAGGCCCCAACCCAAAATTACACAACTCGACTCGATTGCCAGGTCTAAGGGATAGTTTTGGTGCTCAGATATCAGGACTTATCACAGGATCTCGTCTTTTTTTGTTGCCTTAATTTGACAAAATACATATGCAGGAGTATAATCGGGCAGGTTTGAGCGGATAGTGAGAAAACCTTGCCCACCCATTACCCGCAACATTCGGATTCGGGTTTGACCCGTACACACTAAAAATTATTCGTGTTCGGGGTTTACCCTACCCGATTAGGTCCGATTCAGGAGGATATCCACGGTTTCAAATATTTTTGCCATCCCTGTGACCTTCCGAAAAATCTCACAAAATCTATAATGGTACCCCCTTTGGAATCTGCAAAAAATGGATCCGAAAAAAAAATCCGCTGAAATCGTTGCTTAGTAGACTTAATCATCGGTGAAGAATAATCTCAGGCCGAATCTTTGTTCTGTAGCCTTCAATATCAAAGGATAATGGCCTTTTGAATAAGCGCCCTACAAATTACGAAAAAATGACATCCTAATAAAATATGCCCAAGTCAACAATTAGTGGAGTTAATCATTGATGGAGAATATGATCAATAAACTTTATCATCGTTGGAGAAATAACCTTGGGGCAATTCTGTAATTTGTAGTCTTCAAAATCAAAAGAAAATGACTTTCTGAAAAATCGCCCGCAATATGTTATGATAATATAATTTCTTAATAGACTAAATCATCAATGATGAGTAGGAATACCCTCAGATTGTGCAACACCTAGGTGTCACTTTACCTTATCATCACGCCCCTTTGGATACCTAACTCATTGCCGAACCTCTAGACTAGGCATTTCGGTATTGCCTAGCGCCTAAATGCAGCTAGGCACATATTTTGTACCTTCATAGAATATAATAATAATTTGATAGATTAATAGTTTGTCATGTCACATTATTAGTATTTCACTCTCTTGTTTAACGACAGCTACAAACTTGCCTCAGCGATGTATAACGCCACCAGCAATTACTAACGCAATAAGCATGAATTCAGGAGCTACGTCTTATAAGCAGCAAAACGATGACAGTATACTTATAGATGAATCCACGATTCTAATAGATGACAGTATACAAATAGATGACAGTATAAGCAGCAAAACGATGACAGTATACAAATAGATGAATCTACAATGCATCAAATTCGACAATACATGTATAATATTATACATGCATTCTCAACAATACATCTATTTAACAATCACAACTTCCAAACGACCCCTTAATTTCAAATACATAATTTATCATTACTATATATTTACTTATTTTCAAATACATAAATCAAATGGGACGAAAGAGCAGTGTTGAGAATGGAGCCAAGATATACTGTGATAGTAGCTCTGCAATAAAACTCTTTAAGAAATTACAGTCGTTCATGGCATATCCAAACATATTAATGTGAGAACTGGTGAGCAAGTAGCTAAAGTGATGACAAATGCACTGAAGTTGGAAGCGTTTCAATTGATGTGAGAAAGGATGGGAGTCTGTGATGCTGATGATGTTCCGAAAGAAGAAGAAGATGAACTGAAGAAGAAGAAGAAGAAAAAGGAATCTTCAGTTCAGGGGAGGATGTTGGAAGGAGGTTCGAATCCGAATTAGTGAAGGAGATGAAGACTTGGCGCGAAGGAAGACAGAGATTCAATCAAGTTAAAGTTGTGTTCTTTTGGTCATTGAAAGTTTAACTCGTGTCTGTTAGAGTCAATTCATGTTTTAGAGTTGCATTTGAGTCTGTTACGTTGTGCTGAAGTCAGAGACTTTCAATTAGCTAGCTAGTTTGTAGGAATGTTGAGTCAGTCATGATTGCTGGGAAGCTGAGATTGTATGCTGGATCATTGTACTTATGATTCACAACGTTCATTTTAATAAAATTGTCAGTTTGCAATAAAGTTGAGTTTACCGTATGATCACTAAAATATAAACAACCACGATCTGTATAATCTATTTAGGTTGACCTAATAAAACTTTTATTGAGTTAGGATTTTATCTGAACTGCATGAAATTTTGTATTTTGCAAAATTCAAGCCTGACTCAATCCGATTTTCTCAAAACTTTGGGTTACCCGACTACTTTATTTGAATGATTCAAAACATGAACTAAGCGACCAAATTGAACATGACCAAAACGACTCAACATCATGTAATTAACAGCTACTTTATTGGAGTTCCATACCGACGGTTCAACCACGAAATAACAATATCGGAGGCTAAATTGATAGACAGTATTTAACGGTACTAACGATTAAACTACGATTTTACTATAAAGTACCCTACCACTGACTTTTTCGATACGGTCTCCGATACGATCCATACTGGCTAGATGAATCTCACCAGCCAGGCAACCACTCGTGCATCCTTAAAAAAAAAGTCTAACTTAACTAATTACTCCAATGCAGCCATAAATTCCGTATCACTTTCCAGACGCGCCGCCGTCTCCGGCGACAGACAAATCTCAACGTCGACGCTCCCGTTCTCAACCCCGGGATACACCGTCAGCTTCCCGTCGAATTTGTTCCCGGAACCGCTCCTCACCGCCACGGGCTTCCCCCACCCGAAATCGTTACCGTAGACGTCGAACCTCGGCGAGCTGCTCAGCGCCATCCCTCCGACGACCAAACCTCTCAGCGTCGGCATCGTTGGATTCTCAATCCACGACTCCACAGCTCCTTTCAGCTTCTCGTCCGTCAGCCCCGCCACCACCTTGTTCACCTCCGCCGCCACGCGTCCCAATCCTTTATTATTGTGTCCTGACAGCTCTTTCAACTTAACCACTATCGGCCAAGTAATCACCGCGTTCCCGAAGTAGTCTTCGGGAACAAACCTCGACCGGAATCCTACCTGAACAGTGGTGTAGCCATAAATTCATGTAAGATAGGTCAAACATGAAAAAAATTATAAGTTTCAGAATGGGTTTATCTTCTGAAAATTTTATAAAATACAAGCGTCATGCAAATTATGAAAGATGTTAAAATAACATAGCGAAAAATTGTTTATGATTCTGCAACTCATTTTATTTTGAGGTGGCGTCTTCGATGCACTCACTTCATAACCGCCATTTTAAGCATGTGATTTATGTCAAAATGATGTCAATCATCACTTATAATGTGATGAACAATAACACACATGAATTTGCACAAAAACCATTAAAGATTTACTTTAATTTGAAGAATTTAGAGTTTAGAGAATTAGGGTTAGGGTTTACAATTTGGGGTTTAGGGATAGAACTCAAAATTTGAGGTCTAGGGCTTAGGGTAATCGACTAACTAGTTGTTATCATAAGTTATATCATCATATTACACTAATTCTACAAATTAAAATTCAAAATCCAACACCTTAAGACCAGTTTTTGATTAGGGTGCATTGAACGCACTCATTTTTGTGAGTGCACCGAAGTAATCACTTTATTTTGAAGTGTTTTTTCACTTTGTTTATTACAGTAAGTGCTCTTTCAACACTTGTAATGACAACCGACATCAACAAACACCCATGTGTTTCGAGTTTATGTTTATATTAAATTCACTTACGAAATATATATATAAATTAAGAGTTTATTCTACATTTTGCACAATAATA